CCTGCTGACAGGGGACTAGCACAGCGCACCAAAGTCTGCACCAGCCATCGCTGGAGTGGCCATGAGCAAAGCGTGGGAATCTGACAGACCCTCGCTTTGGTGGCTCCCTGGATTAACCAGCCTCTCCATTTCTTCCATAAAACAGACTGACTGACGCCCGCAAAACACAGCCTGCACAGGCTCCTGGAGGACCCCACACACTTGAGCTGAAAGTTACCAATAAGCAGTCGTGTTGGTCCTCAAACTGCCTACTGTGAGTTGCATCTGTTTTTGTATAATGATTGCACAGTTTAATCAAATATGACATAAACTGATGAAATAGGAATACAAGAAGAGAGTTGCTGTGTCCATAAAAACTAAGCTGAATGCATTCGAGAATCTTGAAGAAGGGGGTGCTAAGAAAGTTGTTACTGAATTAGGTGTGGATGATATACACATAAAAGATTGGGGACTATTCTATATCTTGATTGTATGGTAGTGGTCACACAGCTGTAGGCATATGTCAAAACTCATGGAAGTGTACACTACAAAGGATGAATTTTACTGTAGGTCAATTACACCTCAATAAACCTGTCTTAAAAAAACCCCCGGGGGACTTCCCTGGTGGTCCAGTGGCTAAGACTCCACACTCCCAATGCAGGGGGCATGGGTTCAATCCCTGGTCAGGGAACTAGATCCCACACACCACAACTAAGAGTTCGCATGCCGCAACGAAGATCCCACATGCCATAACTAAGACCCAGAGCAGCCAAATAAATAAATAAATATTAGGAAAAAAAAAAAAAACTGGGGAAAACTTTGAAAAAACAAGGGCTTTGTTTTCAGATTGATTTTAAGTTCCACTTAAAAGAAACTGAAACTGGAAACTGGAGTTAAAGTGTGATTTATCTGACAAAGACATAGCAGATCCCAACTGGGACATCCTCAAAGAAAAGGTCTTGGTCCTACATCAAAACGTGTGGAATGAATGTATATGTTTTACATTTAAATGAAAATAAATTGTTTAAAAAAAAATATATATATACATATAT